TTAAACTCAAAGAGAAAGGATGTAAAATGACGCAGTAAAGGGGATGGATTTTTGCTCATTCACTGGTGTAAAGAGTTCACATCAGAGAAGCCCCCTAGGGAATGACAGATCAGCCTCAGTTTTCCCACTGTATACATATCACACCTGAATCTCAGTCATGTTGTATTGACACTGCCTACTGAATTGCCCATCTCACTCACCTGATTATAGGTTTCATGAAGCAGGAGGAAGCTGACCATGTACACAGCCATATTGGCAGTGTCTAGCACAAGGAAGCTCTCAAAGACCCAACGGATGATCCATCTTAGAACAGGTCACCCTTTCCTTCCCATATCTATTTATTTTATTGATATAGAAGGACATATCAAAAAGTGCAGACTTACCTCTCTTCTTTGAGTGACAACAGAGCTTCTCAAGGACCATCCAACTTAAGAGCTATACTGGAGGTCCCCAGAGGGCAGGAAAGGGATGCTCTTTTAGTTCTTAAATCTGCCACTTTTGTATTACTTGTTTATTATTACTTCTGCACCACTGAAAATCAAGATATTACATTTCTTTGAAAATATTCCTGGGTTTACTTGTTAAGACTGGCTCTTATTCTAATTCATTGGCTCTTATTCTAAATTCATACATTATTATCATCTATGATTTCAGAATGCTATATATTTCAAAGCACCTATATAGCCAGCAAATGATCCTTTTATCCTCTTGACCCAACAGCTTTTTACAATCAAGGACAATTCTTGCTCTGGCCACCAGGAAGCTCAGAGATACACATGTGCTCAACTGCTGAAAATGTCATCAGTCAGGGTTTCTTAATCCATTCACTTTAGTCTCTATGTGTGTGAGTGTGTGTGTGTGTGTGTGTGTCTGTAAGAACAAAAGCCAGTAGAAGAAGACAGAAGGTAGGAGCCAAGATATAAAAGTACCTCCTAGGGATCATCTGGTCCAGTCTCTGGTCTTTGGGCAGTGAACTCCTCCCTGCATGTGCAGATGAGAAAACTGAGACACAGAGAAGTTATTGTTCAAGGTCAGGTAGTTGGGAAATGTTGGCATAGAGCCTGGTATTTCTGCCCCTTGATTGATTCCTCATTCTAACTTCAAATATGATGAGTAATAATTTCAGGTAAATATTATAAATGTATCTTTACCTGCATATACCTGAAATAGTATTTATGTAGCTAAAAGCCAGATTTAAGGGGTTAATCAAGGGACAGAAAGGCCAGGCTTCATGCCAACCTTCTCCAACTATCTGACCCTGGACAATAACCTCTCTGTGCCTCATCTTCACAATGGGGGCAGAAGTTCACCTGCCCTAAGGCCAGAGGTTGGACCACATGATCCCCGGAAGTTTCTTTCTGAAAGCTCGGCTATTTTCTTAAGCCAGTGATTTCCAAATGGCTTCAGGAATCAGTCTTCCTGGGGTGCTTATTAAGTCACAGCCTATTGGACCCCTGCCTGAGTTTCTGATGCAGTAGATCTAAGGTGAAGCCCAAGAATTTGCACCTAGTTCTGCTGCCACTGGTCCATAGCCCATATTTTGAGAACCACTGTCTACAGGACAGCAATCTCATATGCCTTATATAGGGAAGCAATGGCAGCATGGGGAGGTGTGTGTGTGTGTGTTATAACTGGTTCTTCAATTATTATAAATGAAGATCCCTTTCAAAGTGATGAGAGACTAGTTCTGCTGCCCACCAAGTCTCAGATGCTGCAGCTACAGCTCAGCAACTAATCACACACTGAGAGTGGCTGGTGGCCACTCTCATGGGGGCCATGAAACACAAAAGTGAATCAGGTGAACCACCAGGAGAACACGCGGGAAGCAGGGGAGAGACAAACATGCTTCATACAATTTACTTCAACAGACCAGCCTAGAATTTTCTCTGGCCATAACAAGAGTCAGTAAAAGCCTTGATTAAGGGTAGATCAAAAAAAAAAAAAATTTAAATTTGAAAAATAAAAAAGTACCTCCCTTGGTGGCGTAGCGGTTAAGCGCTGGGCTGTGAAGCTGCCCGCAGCCTCCGCAGCACCGCTTGGATCCCCAGCCACCGGAGAGGGTCCACATGGCACGACAGACCTCTCCTGCCTCCCGCTGCTCCCCTCAGCAGTGTATTTCGTCTGTCTGCCTGTTCTGCTCCCCGCTCTGGCTCTGGTGAATTCTCTCACCCTCCCGTGCTTCTGACTGTACCCAGTGCTTGCATAAACAAACAAACAAACAAATAAATAATCTTTTTTTTTTTTTTAAAAAAAAAAGGTAGATCATACATAGGCCCGCCACCAAATAGTGCAGGGTAGATGGAAAGAATCAGAAGGAGACTGGGAAAGTGCAAACTGCCCAAGGAACTCACAATCTTATGAGGAAGGCAAATTCCATACATGTGTACACACCCCACATAGTACGTCAAAACAAGGAGATAATCAGATGCAGTGTTCTGTGGCATGGAGATAGAGGGTTCTAGACAGGAGGCAAGGGGGGTCAGGCTTTTCTGGAGGTGGCAAGGCAGGCTGGCAGGGGTCTGGAGGAACAGGCAGGGCCTGAAGTCATGGAAGGATGGGGGAGGCATGGAAAGCGGCCAGGTGGATCTGCTATGTTAGCAGAGAGGGGATGAGAGTGAGCATGGAGGACTTCTTAGTCTTTCTCCACCTTTCCATGTGCATGCCCTCATTTTTTGGTCTCAGTTCCCTCACTTGAGGAATGAGGGTGTTGGGCTGCACTCCAAGTTTTCAGATTCTGTTCCATCTTGGAGAGAACCCAGGCCAGGCATAGGACAATGACCAGGCTGGGCTCAGGTCTCCTGCCTCTGCTTCAGCCAGAGAAACTCCACTTTCTTACACTTTCCCTCCCTGGACAGTTTCACTTCCAGAAAGGGTCCCAAAAGCACTCAACAAAAAGTCTGTGAGGCTTTTTTCACCAGTATATTGGTGATTGCATAAAAAAGAGAAAGAAGCCAGTTAGCACAGAGGATGGAATCACTAGGTTGGCCAGGCAGCTTCTGGAACAGCCTGACCACAGAGAGTTTAGTCTGATGGGGGATGAGAACCAGAGAAGCCTTGAAGGTTTGTGAGGGAGGGACAACACGAGAAGAGCAAAATTGTGCTACAAACTGCTGGAGAAACAAATTGATCTGAAAATCTCAACCACTCAGAGGGTTGTGAGGAAGAACAAAGGGTGATTTTCCCCCTTGTCAGCCTCCCCAACCCCCACCCAGGACACTGTACTGTATGCAAAACTGGTAATTGTGAGACAAACATTTCTTTCCACCTCCCTTCACAGCCCCACGGGCCTTCAGGAAGACCTGCACTTCAAGCAAAGTCTTTTTATTTTTCGACACCCACAGCTTCCATTCAACAATCACAAGTTTTCCATTTTCATCAAAGAGACCAAAGAGAGCAGCCGAGGGAGCAGCCTGTTCTCAGCAGCCCTGGGCAGATGACAGAGTCCCCTGCCACCCACTCCCTGCCCAGGCCCACCACAGGACACAGCTTTCTCCCCACATCAGTCGGGGCACATACCCCCAAAACACTGGCTTGCTTCATTCCCACATCAATTACCGGACCAAATGAATGTGTGCAGCCGTTTCTCCTAAAACCAAGCCCAATTTGGGATTAAGGTGACTCGGCTTCTTTGACTATGAAATGGGTAGGCTGCCCAAGAAGACAATTTATCTCTCGATGTTTCTTCCACCCCCAAGATCTGTGATTTTATAGATTCACCGGGAAGGTCTATCCCAGTCAAGACTCAGTGTGTCCCACCTGGGATGGAGCTCAGCAGTCTGGGAGCTAACCAAGGAGGAGTGGTAACAATCCAAACTTAGTTTTGGACATTGCACATTTTCTGAGGAGCTTTGAGACTTCTGCCAGCTCCCAGACATTTGCCGCAGTCAGAAAGTGAGCAGAAAAGGGAGGAGGCTATAAAGATCTGGCTACTTGCAGATGAAGTTCTCTAAGAGCTACATCCGGAGGCAGCAGCTAGGCAGTGATTCACATTTCAAGTGGTGTGTTGAAAAGGAGATTATTAGCAACCACAGATGTGACCAAATCTGTCCCCCGATAATCTATCTATCACATTTATCTAAATCCCACACTCAGCCCCCTGGGACTATTTGCAACATTTAACCGGAATGATCCCAGGCCATGGCCAAGTCTATTCCCACTCATGAAGTGCTCTTACATCACTGTCTCATTTGCTCTTCTCCGTGGCTGTCAATGAAGATGAAGAAAATTCAGTCTAAGCCCAGTTCTATTCCCTCTGGGCCTCAGTTTTCCCATCTGTAAAAATCAAATACCTGCCTCAGGGGATGGAGGTGAAAGCAGAGTGAGGCCAACTATAAAGAAAGCACCTAGCACTACTCCTGAGACCACAGAGGCTCAACTGTCACATACACACATCACAGCACAGAATACCCAGCAGATACAACATGTACACCACACCTCACACCACAAATGCACACCACCACACACACGCACCAGCATACATTCTGCACCACACTATTTCTCCACGCCCACATCCCTGCAGACACTTCCCCTTTTTCTCTGTTATGGCAAACCCAAGGCTATCTATGATTTTAACAGATCCCAATATATGTGCAGGAATTCCTAACTCAAAAGATCAGTGTTTCCAGATTCCTGCTCTCACCAGTGTCTTTGAACCTGACTCCAAATTTCACACTGCTGTGAGCTGGTCCCCCTTTCGATAATCTCCATATTTATGGGCTCTTTCTTCTCATATATCTGGAAGTCCTTCCAGTTTTTCAGCAGGAGCCGATATTATTAAATGTTGGGGTTACTCTCCTGCAGTGCACGGAATCCAGCCTCTCTGAGGCCCGGGAAAGAAACGTTACCCAACGGGATCTTCTGAGCCACAGGCCTCGCTAAAGAGATTGTGCAGCTTCAGAGCAGGAAGGAGTTTTGTGGCTGCGTCTAAACGAAACAGAAGTTGCTTTGTGCGCGCACACACACACACACACACACACACACACACACTCACAGATTAGGGAAACCGTCATTTTCCTACTCGCCCTCTGACATCAGCCACCTTCTCTGTAGCTGGTTTCTCTGCAGTCAAATTAATCCCTGGCGATGAAAAATGAACCTCTCCCCCACCCCTGCTGCCGCCTTTTGCCTCACGCCCCCAGAGAAGAACTTCTTCGCAAGGCAGCGGGTGAAGGTTTTTTTCCAAGTCACATGATTCAGGATGCAGGGGGAAGAATCCTTCTTGGAACCGAGATGGGCCCAGAACCGAGTCAGATGAGGAGAGATAAGGTGTGATGTGGGGAAGACTATATAAGAATGGACTCAAGTCTGCAGCAGGCACTCAACGGAGTGGCCCCCTCTCAAGACACAGCCATGCATGTGCCGGCAGGCTCCGTCACCAGCCACTTGGGGACCACTGGCCGCAGTTATTTCTATTTAACCACAGTCTCACTGGCTGTGTGTCTCATCTTTGCTGTGGCAACCATTATGGTGTTGGTAGTTCAGAGGACGGTAAGTGGATTCCTCGCGCTCACTTTCCTTTCTGATTTGTGTTCAGTTTTCCCCCAGACAGACATCTTTGGGAATAAACTAATAAATTTGTGGAGAGAAAGAGAGAGGGAGGGAGGCTATGCATCATGTAGAGAAAGGGAGAAAAGAAACAGGAACTTACTGCTTTCAAACAATTTGACTTTTTGAGAGAAAAAATTTCTTGGGCCATTATCTTAAAACTTTCCAGACTCCCATGAGCCAAGAGAATGAAGCCAGGCTGTTAGCCTTGAGAAATTAAGATTTAAATTGTGCTGAGCTTCTCACTGGTGTTAAGGAAGGAAGAAATAAGGAAACCTGATAACGTATTTGCACAACTTGTTGTCAGGTCTTCAAGGCCTTCAGACCCGATTCTGAGGTTCTATATTCTCACTCCAAATGTTCCTGAGATTTCTGAGGCCTCATCCACTGCCAAGAGCATTTTTAACTAGTCTGCTTCAGAGGCCAAGGTCTGTAAGGCAAGGAGGAGAAAGAGAAGACCTAGGCTGCTTAGCACTTTGAGCATTTTGGCGTTACTGCCCAGAAGACAAACTGAAAGTTTCCTCCCAAGACACCACTTTGAAGAACTTCGGGTATCACAACAAACAACACAGAGGCAGAAAGTAGACATGTTTGTAACACCTGATCCCTCAAAGACTGCTCAGAAAAGTAAAACTATGAGCAATTATGGGCACACACTGTGTAATCAAACTGTCTAAGATATATTTTGTTTGAAGTAAAGGGTAAGATTTATTATGAAAATAGCAACAAGGAGGAAGCTTCTTCATACCTTAGAAAATGGGTGTTTACAGAGAGTCTACGGGGACTTATTTTATAGAAAATACTGTACAGATAGATCTTGCTCATGAATTTTTTAATGAAGTCAAGCTTTTGTCAATTTTGATCTTTTAAAACTGTAACCTCCATATCCTGCCAAAGTCAGAACACTTCTGTTTATTCCTTCATAGTTCCCTTTTTCAGGGTATTGCAATCTTGCAGGACTTGCTCTGGTTTTCTTTCAGTTGTCTTAGGCCAAATACTCTGTTACTTATAGACTGTTAAAAAGAACCAGGTTTTCAAAGGCTTTGGATTCTCTTTCTCAAGTGTCATCAAGCTTTGAAATTTAAATGAAGCTCAGAGATTCTTATCAACACAAAAGTGAAAGAAAACTGCTCAGAATTGCTAACAATTCGATTTAGACAGAATTTATAAAAGGGCTCATCTACATCTACTGAGAATACTACTCTTGCAAACATTTTAGGGGTACTTTTTTTTCAGTAGAGGCTCTACAGTTTTGGAAATTCTAGTTAGAAATAAACAAGAGGGGTCTCATATTATAGTGAAGGTCACTGAAAATAAATTCAAGTGACCTTTAAAAGTTATAATTAGAACAACTAAGAAGGGCAGGAGAGAACAGAGGAGGGCGGGAGAGAGGGAAGGAAGGATGGAGTAGGGAAGAGAAGACATGGAGGAGGGAAAATAAAAGGAAAGAAAAGAGACTATGGGGGAGGGAGGCACCGGCGGTATGTAAACCTAGAGAGAAGTCCAGAATGGTCCTTATTTAAATCTCCATTTTAGTTCCATGATGGAACCAAAAAGTATGGATCTTTCTTCCTTGTTATTGTAAATATGGAGAACATGAAACAGAAAGGGGACCATGTTTGAGTTGTCCTCATGAGAAAACAGTGTCATCAAGACTGATTGTTTAATTAGAATAGAGTTCTCTTTGCCAATACAGTCACAGAAGCAATAAGAAACTTTGTTCCTACTCTTTTCTGGGGTCTGTAACTTTTTATGCATCCATTTCCTTGACTTACCCTTCAGATTGGGTATGAAAAGATTTACTTTGTAATCTGAGTGTATGGTTGAGTGTGCTGTGATTTCTTAACCTGAGAAATATCACTTACTTGCTCAAAAGCATTGTGACGTTAAGTGTTAAGTGTTCTACGCAGGTCATTTCAAATAATTTGTTCAGATATTAAGTAGTTCCAAAAGCTAAATTGAAATAGTTCCCTGGAGCTTGAGTTATCAGTGAAGGCTTCCTGAGGAAGAAGGAAAGATTCTGGACAGGTAGAACTCAGATAGATGAAGAAACTATGGACTCAAACAGAAGTTCTGGTAAAGAAATCAGAGGAAAAGACCCAAAAGACTTAAACTCATACCACAGTCATTAAAAATGAAATGGATTGATGAGCACACAGCACTGTGTGTGAGGCTAAATAAGGGCAAGAGTGGTGAGCTATGGAAGTTGTTTTACTGGTCTAAGAAGTCACAGTTCTAAGTGAAAAAGCATATGTGTAGAGAACATTTAAAACAAGATGATATAAAATATGGTAAATTATGGAAGACAGATGAGTAGGGTTACTATGGGGCTACAAATTAAAGAGACAAGAGTTTTTTCCCCAGACAGATTTAAGAAAAATTTCACTGGAAATAGGAGCTTCCAGTTGAATTGATAAATATGTATATTTCAAACAGATAAAGAAGGGAAATCAGAGGACCAGCCACTCCTGACCAGTGAGACAGCATGAACATCAGATCCTTCCCTGTCATTAGAAAATCTGTGCATCCACAAATATAAACACACCACATTAACTGCTTAATCTTAAACCTTATGTTATTGACTTGATAGTATATCTTAGAGACTCTTCTGTGCCAATATGTGGAAGTCCAGCTCATTCTTTTGAAGTGTCTCCAAGTATTCTTATATGTGAATGCGTTATAATTCCTCTTATCCATGCCTAGTGGACACGCAAAAGTTTTTCTACATTGCCCTCTGTGCATCTCTGCAAGTATCAGTGGGATAAATTCCTAGTGACAGCGAGAGAATATGTAGTTTTCATTTCAGTATATATTGTCCATCTGCCTCCCTTATATTCTTGAGACATTAAAAGTCCTATAAACAAAAAGATGCTCCATCATGACATTATAGAAAGAAATCTGACTTATATTGGGTAAATACAACATACTACATGCATATAAGTCAGAAGGAAATTTCACATAATTTATGTAGCAGAGCAAAAAGAAAAGTAATAAAATTTCTCTCATCTCCTCCAGAGACAAAGATTTATATAAGGAAATAGGCTAGTAGGTTAACACCAGAAGTGTTTACATTGTAAGAGGTCCTGAGGTCTTCAATCTCAGTTATAAATCCAGACATTGGGTTTATCCAGCAACTGGAAAAATCCATTTATGTCCCAAAAGTTTGGAGCAAGGGTTCCAAATCATTAGGTGTTCAAGAAGCACCCTTTCTAGAAAGAAGAGAAAGAAGTTGCCTCCTTTCCCTTCATACACAAAGAAAAATTTCCTTTTTCTTTATCTTTACAGCACAACTCTATACTTCCTCAGCAGTTTAGGCAGGGTATCTCATTAGGGGTGGTGATTTTTGTTGTCAGTGAGGTTTTCCAGTCTGTTTTAAAGCTCAGGAAAGGGGCATCGCTGGTGGTGCAAGGGGTTAAGTCTCAGCACTATGAAGCTATCAGCAGCCATTGCAGCAGGAGTTCTATCCCAGCCAGGGAGCTACCCTCATGGTGCAGCAGACCTCTCCTGTCTCGCCCGCTGCTCCCCTCAGCAGTGTATTTCAGTAGCTCTGCCTGTTCTGCTCCCCATTCTGTCTCTGGTGAATCCTCTCACCCCTCACACCTCTGGCCCACACCCCAGCTCTTGTATACATAATAAAAATAAATAAATCTCTAAGGCTCAGATAAGATCTAAGGGTGAGTTGAAATGGCCTAAGATATTTCTTTCTACCTGATGTCCAAAGCATTCAATTAATCAGAGAAAACCTCAGGGGCAATTCCTGTGCTGGACTATCAGGGGAGGACCCAAGTGGACAGGGAAGTATCTCTGTTTGCTGGGAATTCTTTACACTGGGAAGATAAGGCTTAAACACCCAAGAGCTTGAGTTTGGGGCAGAATAGCACAAAATTCTAACAGGCCAGAGGGGAGGGGACAATCTCCACTTAGGATGTCGGCAGGGTTTAACAGAAGAGCTAGAACAGAAACCTGCCTCCTCCAAGAATCTGGAGGAGGGTCACACCTTAAGTCCAAATCTTTCTTTGAAAAATTTCAAACCTAGAGAAAAATAAAATTGTAAACACTCATATAATATTTAACATAAATTGTGTTAATATCTTGTCATAGTTGAGGGCTTTCTACATATAAAATAGTTACAGTCAGCATGACCTTTTCCAATATATATTTCAGTATCTATCTTCCACTTACCCCAGTGCCATGAGCAGAGCCAAGGAAGTTCACGTAAATTCCCTAATATCATCTAATAACAATATATATGCATGTGTGTATACACATACACACACACCTGTTTTTTTTTAATTTCCCTATTTGTCCAAAGATATCTCTTATAGTTGTGCCATGTTATTATTTGGGGATCCAGAATCCAATTTAAGGTCAAACACAATTTTTTTTAATCTCTATTTTAGTCTAGAATGTTGCTACTTAAAGGGTGGAACACCTTAGAAATGCAGAATCTCAGGCCCCATTCCAGACCTACTGAATCAAAATCTGCACTTTAATGAGTTCCCCAGGTGACCTGTATGTGAGTTAAAGTTTGAGAAGCCATGACCTATAATCTCCCCTGCCATTTTTGTTTGTTTTTCATGACTTTCTTGGGCCAACTCTCCTATGGGACAGTCACATTTTGGGCTTGTGTTAGTGTTTCCATGTGATTCTGTTTAGAGGAAACATTTTTGGCACTTATAGTACATAGTTAATGCTGTGAACGATGATGTTTAGTCACTTGGTTAAGTTGGCTCTCTCTTCTCCAAATGAAAACAACAAACTTTTTTTCCTTAGTAATAAGTAATCTATTGGGGCAATACTCTCTGCTCAGCAACTTTGGCATTTCTTGACAATCCTTGTCTGCTTCAGCTCATGCAGACAGGGTGGAAGAATAAGGATTGCCTGTTTCTATCATCCCTCCCATGTTCATGGTCTGGCGTTATTCTGTAGGGAACTCTCCATGGGAAGGCTGGTGGCAAGCAGATGGAGAGGGGCATTCCAGGTGAGGCAAAAGAGACAGTCCAGATTAAGGCAAGTCCATGGGAGGCCAGGGGTGGTGGGGCAGAACAGAGGTCAGTCCAGACCGCATATGTGAGTAGCAGGAATTAGAGCTGGGGCAAGACAAGCTTACAAAAGAAAAGGAAGAAGCCAGGATGCACCCCCATCTTCAGACTAGCTCCTAAACATTTTATCTGAGCTCAGCTTCACATTCAGCCTTCTGTAGCCATTTCTTATGGCAGGAAGACCTCCAGTGATCTGACTGCCTGTTAACTGAAGTTTTTAAGCCCCTTCAAAGTGTGGTCCAGGGCCCAGTGCACTGGCATCATTAGGAAGTTCGAGAGAAATGCAAAGCCTATAGGTTCATCTTAGAATTGCTGAATGAGAATCAGCATTTTAACAAGATCCCCAGTAGGAGAAGCTCTGCTTTGAGCCACTCTGATCCAATTCCATTTTTGCTAACCATATCAACCAAAGGCTGCCAGTAAAAATAATCTTTTCCTGGTGACTTTGTATTACTGCCATTCACTTTGCTGTCAAGTCTCAGGAGACAATTTTCAGACCCAACTTCACCCTGCTCCCCCTAAAGAGGCAGAGGAGCATGAGTTGAAGAGCCTTGCCTTCCAAGTCAACAAAACTGAGCTCGAATTCTTCCCCTGCTATTCACCATCTGTAGGACCTTCTGTAGTCATTACAGAATGTCTTACTCAGTCAATCACTAACTTGAGTAAAGATGAAATAACACAATACAGCTAAAAATTTTTTTTAAGATTTATTTATTTATTTATACAAGCACTGGGTACAGTCAGAAGCATGGGAGGGTGAGAGAATTCACCAGAGACAGAGTGGGGAACAGAACAGGCAGACCGATGAAATACACTGCTGAGGGGAGCAGCGGGCAACACAGGAGAGGTCTGTCAAGTCATGTGGGACCCTCGCCAGCAGCCAGGGATCAAACTGGCACTGCAGAGGCTGCAGGCAGCTTCACAGCCCAGCGCTCAACAGCTGCGCCACCAGGGGAGGCCCAACACGGCTAAATTTTTAACCTCAGAGGATTAAGCACCCTCATTAAGTGTTTAGTCATGTTAAGTTGAAAATAAGAAAGGTATTCCTAGATATTCAGAGCATCCACCTTCCAAGACAATGAAGGTCCACAATGAAGGGGCTAGGAAATGCCCTGGGCATATTCCAAACTTTGGTTGCCTTTGGTCATTTAGAGTCAGAGAGGACATCTTTTGTTAAAACCAAACTTGGAACCTGATTACCCCTGCACATCAGTGCTCTGTAAAAAGAAACAAGTCTTTCAAGATATTGGGGAAAATTAAGCACATTATTAGAATCAAGAGAGAAACCAAAATGCTACCATTTTCAAGCACTTGCTAACAATTTAAATGCAATATTTTATTATGTCTGCAATATCCCAGTGAAGGGAAGGATTATTACATTTCTAATCACAATGATTAAAGAAGATGAATAAACAAAGTCCTAGGCAAGGTTAACGATTGGGATTGGGTTGTTCATTTCACTGGGGATAAGCCAGTTAAACATGAGAATTCCTTCCTTTATTAAAGAAAAATTATTGGGGGATAGCCATCTGATATCTGGAGTCTGAAACAAAAGCAGTATACTTAAGAAAGTGTAGCTGGTTGGTTACCATGGAGATGAAGTTTCCTGAACCAGTCAATGGAGCTGAGAATGACAACCTGGGAGGGTCCATAGCTAGGGTCTGTGTCTAGCCTGCCTATGTACTATGTACAGGAAAGCCAAGTTGCTGAGCAAGAGGGTTCACATTTCCCCGGCCATGTCCCAGATGCCTGGGTAAGATCTGGAAGAGAAATCTAGAGCTAGAAGAGAATTCAATAAGGATTTGAAGGGCAGCACTTAGCATAGTACCTAAGACAAATTTTAAAATCATCATCTCTTTATATCCTGCTTCTCCCAAATGCAAGGATTGCTAATGAGAGTGCAGAGGAGGAAAAGATGAGCTTTTCTATTCTTGACTTCTGCAGATAGCATCTGTCCAAGAGCAGTGAAAAGGGCACTAGAGAATTTCAGTCCAGGATCTGCCACTGACTCATGAGTATCTCCTTTTCCTCTTATGTAAAATTAGTTTCATGGACTAAAAGGTGTCTCAGTTCACCTCTGGCTCTGATTCTCTGATCTTGTCTCACAGGCAGCCAGGGGACACTATGGAGAACTCATCCCAGGAACTCTTCAAAATAGAAATAGTCTTGGATGCCCTGGGTCCTGGGTAAAATTTTAGGCAACAGGTTTCATTTCATACTAAGGTGCTTTGTTTTGACATCCTCTTATCTTAAATTAGAAAAGCAGAAAGCCTTTCAATGACACACAGAGGCCTCCCTTGACCCCTCAGTAAGACTTAGGTCCTCCACCCAGATATTATCTCTTACAATTTTTGCTACTCAAAGTGTGTCCTGGGCCAGGAGCACTGACATAATCTGGGAGCTTATCAGAAATATTCACAGGCTCCACCCTAAAGTTCAAATACTCTCTTAAAATACTCTCTTTTCCTTCATAGCTCTTATCACACCTTGCCATTCAACTTGTATATTCATTTGTCTATTTTAAATACAAATGCTTAAATGACTAAGCCATAATATCCACAGCACATCTTGCAGTGATGAAGGCAGCGGTTGCCCCACTGCAGGTACTCACTCAGCAAGTGCAGAATGGAGGGTTCTCTGTATTTCCCCACTGCTAAGCAGCCTCTGGGGTAGTTCCACTGGTTTAGCTGTCTACCTCCTCTCATTTTCCCCGAATACTTTCCAGAAAATCTGACACTTCCACTGTCTTTACAACATACTTAAATGTCGATGTTTCTTATGCATTTGCACATCACAGGAATGTCTGGTAGTACTTTGGAAGAAAATTAGGTATCAAATTTTGAAATGCTGTGTGTTGCCTTACAAAGGCAATACAGAGGGGATTTTTGTGATGTCAGGTTTTCCAATGAACTGCGTGCGTAACTAAGAGACCACAGCATAGTTAGGTCAAGAGCTTTCAGCAAAAACTCTAAAATTATAAAATATTAGACCAGAGAGGAAAGGACCTGCCAGGCCAAGTTCACTGTTCTCTGAAAAGCTGAAGCCCAAAAGTTTATATGACTTCACCCATCTCCAGAGCAGTGTTTTGCCAGGGCTTGGCCTTCAGGAGACTTCCTTGACTTACTCCCACTCCCTTGGCCTGCAACGGCGATCCATTTATCAGAAAAGGAGATGTCAGAGGAAGGCAAAGGACAGAGGCCCTGGGAAATGGTAGAACAAGATGGCAGATGGTGCTAGGTATTCATATAGAACACTCAGAGAATAAGATGTGGGAAAGGGCTAACTTCTTGATCTGGCAAAGGTTTCTAACTACTCATATTTCATTATTCATACTTCAGTCTAATGCATTATAGAAGATCCCACCCTGAGCTGGTCAAAATATGAGTAAGAGACTTCAATGCTTATTGGCAGGACATCAGAAAGGTGTCTCCATGACTGAGTGGGGGAGAAGGGGGAAGGGATATCAGGATCAGGGGAGTCATTAGGAGTGACCAACCATGCCCATCTGCTTCTGTTGCCTCCTTCCTCAGAACAGGTCAAGATTTCCTTTACATCTCTTCTAATATCCCAGTCTGGAGATGCCCCCTTCAGAAGATAATGTTTCTATTCTATCAACCTCTTACTTATTTGTATACATACTTATGTATATGCCTATGTTTATTACATTTGTTTTTATTACATTTGTATTTATTACATTATATATATATATACACTGTTTACTATAGATAAATGAACAGTGTGAATATAGAAATATCTAATATAACTGAGTATACTTATGTTACATATTTAAAAACATGTCTCTATCAATTCAAAAATAAACTTATAAAAAATTCACAAGGACCGGGACCCAATTTAATTACCTGTCATATCTTCACAATGTTTGGCAAATACACATTCAATCAATTCAGAATTTCCAACCACAGAAGAGATATAAATATACTGTTCCCAGGTATGTTTAACATACACCTTCACATTTGATGAGTCAAATAGGGGGAAAAAAAACATATATTTATATACTACACATGACTGTTCTTATGTTGATGGAAAGGGAGAAAAATAATACATGCAGAAGTGAAAAACAAAGCACTGGACTGGGAGTCAAGAGTTCCACATTTGGACTCTCAAGCTACTCCTAAATTCATTTTCCTCTCTCAGTCGCTGGTTCCTCCCCCGACAATGGATAATAATCTTTGTCTTGTGTTTCTGATAAACAGACTGTCAGGCAAATGGATCAGAAAGTCCACTGCGAACTATGTCAGCGAATTAACTAATTAAGATTTAAGAATCAGTGCCTCCCAGGTGGCGCAGCAGGATGAGCGCAGCACTGTGAAGCTGTCCACAGCCTCTGCAGTGCGGGTTCAATTCCTGGCTGGCCAGGGAGATACCCACATGACGTGGCAGAACTCTCCTGTCTTGCCCACTGCTCCCCTCAGCAGTGTTTTTGGTCGTCTGCCTATTCTGTTCCCCGCTCTGTCTCTGGGGAATTCTCTGCCCTCTGGCGCCTCTGGCCTGTACCCCAGTTCTTGTATAAATAAACAAATCTTTAAAAAAAAAAGATTTGAGACTCAAATGGAAAGCAAATTCTAAATTTTTCAGTGTGTTGATGACAAAGGGGGAAAGAAAAGTGGTTTCAACTGGATGTCATCCTCACGCTGCTCTTTTCCTTTTTTTTTTCTTCTAGGGCTCCATTCCCAACCCACCGGACAACTTTCCCCTTAAAGGAGGTAAGACCTTAGCATGAGGAGTAAGTGCATATTGAATCATTCCTAGCACGTCATAACTAATTATGACCAACACAGCATGACGGTGCCCAAGAGAGGAGTGGGTGGAGGTGGGACCAATTGGGGCTGAGCAGAGGCATCTTGATTCATCTCAGCAGCTTCTGACTACCACTCTGGTGCCCACAAGTCTCCAACCAGCCCTCAGCGACCCCATGAATGAAAACTCTACCTCAGGCACAGGCTGTAGCAAGGGCAAAGACAGGAACACAAAGCTTTGTGTTAAAAGCTTTAAATCTGGAGCCTGACAAATGTAGGTATGAAGCTTAGCTCCACATTCCACCTGGGAGCCTCAGTCCCTTATTGATGAAAAGGGAATAATAATATCTACCTCATTAAGGTATTGGAGAAGTGAATCAAATCTCATCCATACATTGCTTAGCATGGCTACCAGCACACAGTAGTCATTAAAGAATTGGTAAGAGCCAAAATGCATAGTGAAAATAGACCTCATCACCCACCTTGCCAATCACTGAAGTCACTAGTTAATTCACTAGCCCCAGAGGGGTCATATGCAGAGTTAGGTTAGTACTGAGGATGAAACACTTTGAGATCATTTGATGAAAGTTTTCATTGCACCAAGGAAGAAAAGCAAAACCCAATGTCAAGGCCAAGGTCATATGAAGCCCGACCTAGAATCCAGATGTACTTGTCTCTAATCCTGTGTTCCTTCTGCCCAAGGACATAAATCCCATCCAGTCCTATAATATTTAGAAACTAGATAGCAAGCACAGCTGGAAACCTTGCAAGCTGGAAGTGAAAGAGAAAGGGCAGGTCATCATAGGCACCCAGGTATGGTACCTGGGCACCCTTCTCAGACCAACAGCATCACCCTTGCAGTGTCCTCAGACACCTGTAGTCATTATTTTCCTGCTGTCTTGCAGAGACTTTGAAAATAAGGGCCAAAGGCCCCAAACATACAAGGCTTCTGGATCTTTCAAGGAGGGTGAATAATCACAGCTTTGTCAACAATATGTTAACCTGGCTAGAATTACTTACCATGTGACCGCATTTTCCATAATGTCTCTGTAGACAGTTGCATTAATATAAAAAGCAACATGTTATAATGCAGAAGTCAGCAATTTTTTTCCGTGAAACCCAGACAGTAAACATTTTAGATTTTGCAGGCTTGAGGTCTCTGCTGCAAGCCAACTCTGTTGTTGTGCAGAAGCAGCCACTGATTCTGTGAAAAGAGTGGGCATAGGCATGGGTCTATAAAACTTTATGAAAAGAATGAGGTGGTGGCTGGATCTGACCCACAGACCAGAGCTTGCTGACCTCTGTCATGGCAATGACACAGCTGTGGAGTCAGGACATGTAACACAGATTCTTACTGAGTCTTGCAAATAATCAAATATGCTGGTAAATGTCATATTTTCTCCCCATTCCTACCATGCCACCACCACCTCCCTCCAGATTTTCAAAATGAGACCAGAACTTTTCATATCGGGGTGGGGGGGCAATCTTTAAGAGGAACATGATCTCAAAGATGAGGACAGTGCCAGGCAATGTGACCTCAGGCATTCTGGAACTCAAGCTCCATATCTGAGAGCACTTTTCCTGAGAGTAAGCCCTTTCCTACGTTTTTGGTGTTAATGCATCCTTCCTTTTACAACATGACACTCACATCGATGGAAGTTAATTTGGTTTTCGCTAAATTATTTTGTTTAAATGGTCACAATAGGCAAAATAAAAAGGTGCCCACTCTATATATCAGTCACTGAATTTTCTTTATGGGCTAAGTTTCTTTGGTCCACGAAATCCAACATCTTGGGGTCTAGGACTAAATCCCTTGTCAGATCCCTTTTTTATCTGAGTCATCAATATGAAGACCAGAACACAAGCAAATACAAACCCAAGCTTAGTTCACAAGTCAATGTTTCTGCAGCCACTTAAAAAATTACTAAGAATTATTCCCACTAGAGACTATGAAACTTGATAAAGACCTTCACACACCCCACTGGGTTGATATTAGCCTCCATCCTGTGAGCAGCAACTGAGGCTCTCTGGTCCCATGGTACAGCTGAGGAGCTGAGGCCTAAGAAGCAAGGTGATTTGCCCAAGGTCACCCCAGGAGTTGATAGCAGAGCAGGGGTCAGAATGCAGGATTCTTTTCTTTCTCTCTGCCTAATGTGCTTTAGCCTGATGTGCTTTGATCCCTGTCTTTCTCCAGTTTTTAATGCAAATCTGCATCCCTTTTTGGGGGGTCCCACTAAGTGACACTATTTATTGAAAGATAATCTTGCTTTACCCAAGAATTTACTCCCATGGAAGTAGCTGCAGTAAGAATGTTTCTTCCCCATGACAAAGCAAAGCGATCAACTATACCCAAGAGCAGAAAGCCAGCAGTTAAGCCTGTTGTCATTTTTAATTTACGCTTCTCTTAACTTGGCAAACTGGACACAGTAGCAGAGCATAGTAGAAAGAATATTGCCTTGGAACAAGAACTAGGCTTTCAGAAATAACCCTTGCACCAGCAGGCTATGTGTCTCCAGGAGAATCTTTCCTCCTCCATGGGCCTCATCTAGAACCCAACAGCAAGGTGTTAAATGAACTGGAACCTTTGACACTTTACCAGACCATAATTCCTTCCATATAAGTGTAGAAAAGTCTAATAATGATCTTGAGTCTGAAGCCACAGCAACTTCCCACAACAAGCCCTGATTAAATAGGCACAGACAGAAAATCATCCCTTCTGAAAAACACTGCAAGACATCATAGGCAGAGGGCAGCCATCCTCCAGCAACTGCTAGAGAAGGGGCAGCACGTGGTTGTCACTGGGGCAACAAAGGCAGACACAGCAGCTCTGCCACCAGCTAAGGGACTTCCTCCACCAGCAGCTGGAAACCAACAGCAGCCCGAGCTGAGAAGAGGAACACATGCTTACACTAAAGTAACAACGCAGGATGACACTTAGCTGCAGGCAAACCACACCTTTTTCACAATGAAAGGATTTTCATTCCCAACAAAAGCCCCCTCTTCCTGGTCCACAGCACATGGCTACCTTACATCTATCCCACTGAACTCAGAACTCAGCATCCCCTTCCACAGGGGTTCAGCCAGGACTGTGAGCAGGAAGAGCACTGGGGACTAGTGGGGAGAACCAATCACCACATGTCCTTCCACCTAGAAAGTGGAGATCATGAGGCTTTCACATAGAGTCCTACAGGGTGAAATAGGACAGCAAATACCACCCTTGTCTTTCACTCAGCTGAGCCTTATGCTACAAGGTCACTCTGTTCTTTCCCATCCAAATAAAAGGGCTCCATCTACATACTTGGAGAAACCAAGGATGGTTGCATGGAAAAGGAGGCTACATTTCTTCTTGTCTTTGCTTGTTCCAGTCTTCTGCTTCTATCACTTTCTGAATTTCACATATGCTCATGTTCTGTGGTTTATTTGTCCAAATCATAGACATCTTTGCCTTGATTTCCCCGAGTGCCAACAGCACTCCACCTATGTGTAGCACAGTGACAGAGGGATGTGGGGTATACAAAGAAGCTGGTAAGGCAGCATTCCAGAGTGAGCTCAGCAGGTGATGCAGAACTGAGAATCTGACCTCTCTGTCACTCCAGTTCTGGGGATTTCTCAAGGGATGGCTCTCTACTGCAGGGTTCAGTCCTCAGCCATACGTACTGACCTAAGGCTGCGTCCTTTCCCCCACCATACATACAGTCCCTCACAAATCCTGCAGAAATTAAAATTCTACTGACTTTACTTTGCAGAATGATATTTTTTGCCTTGGTCTCACCCTTAGGCCTTCCCAACATCCCAACAACCAAATGACAGTTCTTACCAGCATTGGAGGAATTCTCTAGACAATGTTTACATCCATGCTTCATTTATTCTCTCACTACATAGGCACAAAGATCCGGCAGAGTGAAATAAGGAACATAACAGGCCGTTCCCTCCGTGCTGAGCATGGAGCTTTGTGATGCACTCATGCCATCCTCACAATAAGCTATTCCTACTTAGAGGCAAAAAACTGGAACACACAGAAGTTTATGGACTTGCCTAAGTTTGAACAGTAAAGAGTGGGGCAAGATCTCAAAATCCAGGCTGACCCTTTTGCTTAACCAGTATTACACTGTCAGATGTGCAGTGAAACTCGGGACCATACGTCTTTCCCAGCCCTACCTGTTCTCCAAGGCTGGGAATCCTTCCAAAGCTTTTTATCACTCCTTTGGTACCTGCTCCCACAGCTGCTTGTTTTCTCATTTCTGCAGCATGTTCCCTGCTGTCAAGTTCTGGACAGAGAGGCCCATTGAGCGACTACACATGTGGGTTTGCATTGGTGGCGGAGGGTAGGAAGCATCAGCAGCCTGTAGCACTGAACTGGAGGCTACATTTAAGCCCTAGTTTTGCAGCTATAGGGTCATGAGACCTGAGATGATTCCTTCCCTCCCCTAGCCTGCCAGGTAGAACACACCTGTCTTCCCTGTGAATGTCATGTGGTCCTTAAAATCCAGAGGTTCCAGGAGCCCTGGGGAAGTGCAAACAGTGGGTCTACCGTGTATGGGTCCTGAAGCCCATTGAGCACAGCCCCTTGCCCCCACCCCTGCCTGAAGTCAGTCTCCAACTAGAAATGAGGCACAGAAGGCAGAGAACTGGATGGAGCTTTGGAATACCTACATTCCAGTCCTGGGACTTGAAGCAACTCACCTTGCTTCAAGGGACTTGAGTCTCCTGCTTTCTAACACATCAGGAGGGGTGGAGGCAAGCCGAAGCTAACCTCGGGATGGCACTTGCTCTTAGTATGACATTTCAGGAATCAGATATCTTCGGAGTCTTTGATGATTTTACCAATCTAGCATTTTACAATTCTTGCATGACTTAGAAGATTGCTTTCCTCTCCACTTCCCTGCCCTCGCCCACTGCCACCTACATTAAAAGAGATCAAGCAGAGCTATCTCCCTGTGCAAAGTGAACCCCAAAGAAACAATAAA